TCCTCCCATATGTTTACTGAAGATTACTAAAAGCATTCTGTCCTGGGTCTTTTCTTCTCTTGTTTTGTTCCTTCTATACTTTGCCTACATTCCTATCATCTTTTGCAGATTATTATATTAAAAGATTTTCTGTGCTTGATTATTGCTTTGAAGTAGCTCCTGTGTATTCATTGTCATTATATTTCAAGTGTTGTTGCTCCATGCTTGGCTTAGAGTAGACAACTAGGAATGCTTACCAGACTAAAAACAATTTATGAGCTAAGTGCCGAAGATTTAGCAATATAACTAAGAAAATTCCTGGGTGTAAGAGGAGAAATAAGGTTATTTCAAAACATGAATCCATGGTGATTTTTATTCACTTATTAAAGGATAAGCAGCTAGGATTTATACTGGTATTTAATTCATGTTTAGTCTTTGAAGGAATTTGTTTGGCTTCTACAATAATTCAAAAAACCAAATGCTGTTTTTAAGGCAATTACAGAGGATAAGAAAAATATCTCCACATCCATTCATCACGTGTCGCCCTTTAGCAAGTTTGACAGAGCACCACCTGGCTGTCATGGAAACCATGATGGATTACACCTTTTGATATCAATATTGAGCCTCATTCATTAATTTCTGAGGTTCCATGCTTTATATCAAAAAGACAAATGCCAAGAATAATTCAAACTTTTCAAACAAACAACAACAAAATCTACAGGACAACTTTGATGACCTATTTTCAAGGACTCACAGCTCATGTAATATAAATGAGCATGGTTTAATTAAAAATACAATTGAAAATCAACAAAACACTCTAACTAGCTTTATAATATGTACAAATGAAACCAAAATTAGACACATAATCACACTTGTGATTTATAACAAAGATCTCAAAGACAAATAATCACTTGGAAAGAAAAGTAAAATTTTGGTGATACTAAATATCAAATTTTAATCCAGTACTAATCATGTTTCATAACTTTATAAAAAGTATTCTTACATTTCATACCATTTCATCGTAATTGGTAGATAAGAAGCTATACCTAGTCGAGGTCTTGTTCAGGTGTGTGTGTGTATATGTGTGTGTGTGTGTGTGTGTGTGAGAGAGAGAGAGAGACAGAGACAGAGAGAGAAGACAGAGAGAGATGAGAGAGAGAGGAGAGAGAGACAGAGACAGAGAGTCAGAGACAGAGACAGGGGGATCAGATTCTGAACTCATGTCCTCATACCTGTTAGGAAGGCATTCTATTAATTGAGTCACACTTCTTGTCTCTTTTTCCATGTTATTTGAATGTAGAGTTTTTTCTTTATACCTTTACTAGTTTGGGCTACAAATTCTCCATATCACTGGAGATCATAAGCACATACTATCATGCTCACTGGTTGAGATTGAGTCTCATGAATATATTTTGCCCAAGCTTATAAGAAAACATAATTCTTTGATCAATTTTGCCCCTCAATTAGCTGGGAGGAAGTTTTGAGTGACTGCTGGATTTTCAACTTCAAAGTCGTTTCATTTCTAAAATAATCTTACTACTATGCAAATAGGAGTGTAATAATACATAATATGTGGTTGTAATATTGCTATTATCCTTAGTGGAACAAAATATTCTGAAAGCTTCTTAAGTCTATAATTCATTTGTATACATGTGTTGTATTTTCAAAATTTAATTAGTTTTGTTTGCACAGCTACTTTATATATGTGTATAAATACATGTGTTGCATAAAATAAAATACAAATTCAGAAAATTCACATTAAAATGTACTTAGAATAACTAAGCTCTAGAAAGTAGTTCTAATATTGTTACTAACAATATGTAATTGCATAAATATTTTATTTGTAGAGAAAATTTACCCATTATGTATTTGAAATGATAGATTGATTGCTAGTGAGAATGGTTATTATGCAAGAATTCATTTTGGCATAAAACTAAAATCTTTTACTGGAAATTATGATAACAAGCCAGAACCTAAATTCATGCACTCTTCTTCATAATTCATAATCATTTACACTATTCAACACTATCTATTATTTGTTTTTATGTATTTATTTATGCTGGTGCTACAGCTTGAACCAGGGCTTGTATTCTCATTGTCTTTTCTCTCATGGTTTATGCTCTACCACTTGAGATACATCCTCCAATCTGGACTCATCTATGTTTACGAGGTGGTTTTGTTTTGTTGCTGATAAAAATAATAGCATTAAGATCAAGTCAAAATGCTTTTTGTACATATTATCCGTTCTACTAGTATGAATACAACTAAACTGCGAAGCAGAAGAACCTCGGCCTATTTCTGCAACATGAGTTCAAGGAAATTTGATGAGTTAATATTGCTGAGTGCACATTTCTCATAGAACTCTTGCTTTTGCATTTAAGTCTTCAATTTCTCACACACAGAATTTTCCCCAACATCTGTTTAATGAGTTAATAAAATATATGTTAACATATTGAAACAGAGGTGTAACCGATGTTAACAGATATGTCTTCTTTCTAATGATACCCTGTCTTCTGTTTGTTTTCCACCAAGTATTGACCTGTTTTGACCTGTTTTATGAGTCCAGGCTACTTTCTATTCTTCTTGAATAATTAGTGCTTTACAGCATGCTCTCAGGAAATTATTTCATACATGTGGTCAAGAACTTGGGTACTGAGAATCAGTGTGGGTTTGTGTCTCTACAATAACTTTTTCCTGTTTAGAGATTTCATGTTCTATACACCATAATCTTATTACATATCTAATGTCCTCATGATCTTAAATTGCCTCCCCTACAAAAATCCCTCCCTTTTTTTAAAAAAAGAAACCAGTAACATAGTTTTATTATCATCATTATTAGGCACAGTTGTCTGTATTATATTTTTAATTTAATTTTATTGTCAAGGTGATGTATAGAGGAGTTACAGTTATATATGTACGGTAATGAGATTTTTTAGTGAAAGAAAAACAGGAAAAATGAAGAAAAGATTATGACTGTATTATCTTATAATTTTCTAGTTCATTGATTTAAAATAATATACAAAATCTGGGCACTAGCAGCTCATATCTGTAGTCCTAGCTCCCAGGAGGCTGAGATCTGAGGATCATAGTTTGTAGCCAGCTGAAGCAAGAAAGTTCATGAAACTTTTATTTGAAATAACCTCCAAAATAGCTGGAAGTGAAGCTATACCTCAAGTGGTAGAGTGCGAATCTTGCGAAGAAGAGCTATAAGGGACAGGTCCTAGGCCCTGAATTCAAGTCCCATTCAGGCTACCTCAATTAAATGAATACCAATTTTACATACCCAGAATACTTGATTGAATCTATACAGATTCAAGTTTATGTATATTTTCAACCAAATATGTAATATAGCTATTCATTCAGATATATTTATACATTTTTGTTAGATATGTGTTTATATGTGTATATATAATCTCTAAGCATTAGGAATGAGGATAATATTTTAAATACTAAGGAAGTATTTAGTGCCCACTTCTATCTTATTAAATATAAAGAATAATGGACAAAGGATAGATATACTAAAAACTAAATCAATGATCTGGGATGGACTGCAAAGAAAAATTAAAGAATCATAGTTAAGACCAAGGTATTTTGAGATTAAAAGAATTCTAAATTAAACATAATTCTAATGCAAATTATTTTAAGGATACAGTAACAATATAAATTCACAAAGTTCTTAAATGTCAGAGATGAATAAAGTTTCTAAAACATGTATCATGAACTCATTCTGTTGCTTCTCAGTGAGCTTCTTACCATACATACTTTCTTTTATATTAAACAAGAAAAAGAAGCTGTAAAACTTGATTGAGATGTGAGGATGATTAAATCTTTCAAATATTCATAGGTAAATATAGATTATTTTAAAGAAACTAAAATGATGATAGTCTAAATTCTATTCTCAAAAGACAGGTTTTGACAGGTTTTGTATCAATAACTGGTAAATATAAACATTCATATATATCATATAATGTCAAGAATGTTAAATTTATTTACTTCATGGTGTGAAACATATTTTTCACATTATAAACTTATGACTAAAGAAATACTATAACAATGTAAGTATTCCACCATAGAATAAAAACGTCCTATAATAGGTCCAACCTTGTTCATTATTACAAAACAGCTATTTTTTTTGCCAGTCCTGGGGCTTGAACTCTGGGCCTAAAGCTGCCCCTGACCTACTTTTGCCCAAGGCAAACACTTTACCACTTGAGCCACAGCACTTCCAGTTTTTTGAGTAGTTTATTGGAGATAAGAGTCTCATAGAGTTTTCTGCCAGGGCTGGCTTTGAACAAATATCCTCAGATCTTAGCCCCCTGAGTAGCTGGATTATAGGAATGAGCCACTGGTCCTCAAGAAAATCTTTTCTTTTCTTTTTTTTTGGGGGGGGTCTGGTTGTGGGGGCCTGAACTCTTGCCCTGGGCGCTGTCCCTCAGCTCTTCAGTTCAAGGCTAGCACTCTACCACTTGAACCACAGCACCACTTCTGGCTTTTTTTTTCTTCTGCTTATGTGGTGCTGAGGAATCGAACCCAGGGCCTTATGCATGCAAGACAAGCGCTCTACCACTGAGCCACCTTCCCAGCCCAAACCTCTTCTTTCTTTATCACAACTAAAAAATATTATAAATGAACAAATATCTCAATTATTTGGAAAGAGTAATGCAAAGATCCATTTGTCGTGATGATTAAAGCATAAAATTGTATCTACAAATATAATGCAAACATACTTTCAGGCTAAAAGGAAATCTTTATAGTTTTACTGTGGATAGATGCTTAAGATAATACACCAGGGTGATGATATCTAGGAGCTTGAATAGAGGTTTTTCTAAACGTTTGTTTATCATCTTTACTTTTTGGAAAACAATATGATGCCACAAAATCCTTTCTAATATATTTCACAAATTCAAAATTTAAGATTCTTCTTGGGTGGTTATTTTACTTCCTTAATTTACCAAAACCAAACAAAGTAAAACTAACCACAACTTTCCCAATACTATTCAAAATTACATCCTTCTACTTACCTTGGCAATTGTTGTATGAAAGTTGAAAAAAGGATCTGTTTCTTCAATTTTTGTTGCAGGCTTAGGAAAAATGGCCTCAGAGAGAAAACTTGGACCCTGTGGCAAATCAAAAAGGAAACAATCAGACTCCTTATCGATTTTACTCTTCAAGTGTTATTGGATTTTCTTTAAAGATTCAAAGAACTCTAAATTGCTTTAAGGTTTTTGTGGATTGTTGAATTTCATTCTACTGATCTAATTACCTATCACAAAATATTTGAATTAAAATGAGGAATATTCTATAGTTTTTGACATAAGATATATTTACAAAATTATGTTTTCTTAGAAGTCGTATTTTTTCCATCTCCCCTCTTGCTCCTTTCAGTAAAGACTTGTATATGAATATCTTGACTACAATATCAATCTCTTCTCCATTTTATATATTCTATATCTTAAGTCTGGTAGAATATTTTGGATAAATATGATTATCTAGAAAAATCTCAATAAAGTGTGTATGACATTTTTAACATCATCATACTAACTTCAAATCTGTAAGACATATATGGGGGTAGAAATTCTACATGTTCTCATGGGTTGCCAATCGAGACATAATACATAGTATCAGAACCTTAGTATTAGATAGTTGAAATAAATCAGAGATAATCTAATCCATTTCTGACAGATGTAGTAAAGTTTCAAGATGTAAAAAGCATGAATGCTAACAAGATTATAACATAAATCAATAATTTTGGAGTTTTCACCATCATCAGCATAAAGGATATTGTTTATATTATAAATATAGCATTCACTTGAAAACCTCTAGGTTGTATGTACAGAAAACCATTCTCTAGGGACAGGATACATGTGGGTAGAAAGATGATAGATTTATAAATAGATGGGTGGATAATATCTCTGAAGACTATTGTGAGAAAGGAGATGTTGAAGTACTCTGCATCAAAAAGGACTTCAAATGAATAATTAAACTGTATTTTATTCGATATTAGAGACACTCAGTAGCAGAACAGATAACTTTGGAATATATCAGTCAGTGTTGAAGAGAAAAATTCTGGAATTTTAGATTTGGAAGTAATTGATGAGGATTAAAACCAACATAACTTTATTACCATATATTAAACAATTCTGCACAATTTATACTCCCTACTCTCTACTAATACTGAGATAAATCCAAAGTAACATCTGTGACTAGTGCAGCACAGTTTCATTTTAAATAATAGGACCATGAGTCAGCAAATGACAACAGTACCTACTGCTACTAGATGTTCATAAAAATATAGTTCTTGTTCTTCTTCCCATTTCTCCTCACAATTGATAACACGTTTGTGAGAAAGTCTGCCCAGTGTTAATGACAACTTTGCGGACTTGCCATGAAATATATATGGTCCAGACTTAACATTTTGAAGTATTTCAAATTAACTAACTGAAATTGTTCATATAAGAAAGCAAAATATTTTGATTGGAGGGATTATGAATGAGGAAAATCCACTCTGCAGCTCTTAACTCCCTAAATGGCAGTCAATGCACCTACCTAGAATTAATGGGATAATGGTGGTGCATCCACAACCCAGGGCTGGACCCCAGTGCTTCCATTCCACATGTATCACCTAATTTAATCACATGGGCACCCACAGAGTACCTTCTCTTTAAAAATGAAAAACAGTGAGCTGTTGTTTTGTACGTTTGTTTGTGCCAGTACTGGTGATTGAATTCAGGACCTGGGCACTATCCCTTAGTTTTTTCTCTGAAAGTTGGCACATTATTACTTGAGCTGCAGCTCTTCTTCTGAACTTCTGCTGGTAGTTGGAGAAAATGTTCACAAAATTTCCTGCCCAGGCTAGATTTGAACCTCAGTTCTCTGTTCTCAGCCTCCAGAGTAGCTAGAACTAAAGACACGACTCACCAGCACCAGTCTAAAACCAATAAGTTTTAAGTGCTGTTTCAAGACCACACCATTATTGGCTGTGAAAGCCAGGTTTATGTAACTGCATAACTCACACTTTTCTTTCTATTCCATGCTTGCTACACATGGCTAATGTTTCTTGAGCCCCAGCAAGAATCAGCATGTATAAGTTAGTAAGGATGACTGCTTTAGCTTTTGTCCCAGTTTCCTCCAAACCTTCCTCTACTTTCCTTAGCAGCACAAGCACTAAGTACAATTTAAAGTATAAAATCAAAGACCCCCTGCTTAGACTCACTAAAACTGAAACTAGGAAGTCTCATGTGGGCTTCAATCATTGCAGAATTCTCCTCTCTGCAATCAGAAAATCCCCAGATCAGTAATTAAACTCAATCTATGAAATTCAAACACTTGCAACCTTTGAATGACACTGACATTAATACTTTGCTGGACTCAAGAAAAGGTAATTCTGGCTATGATCTTTGAAACATAATATTCACATCACAATTCAGTAGGGAAAAATTCTTAGATAAGGTGGACTTTAAAGAAAGTAGAATCACACATGCGCCCAATGTAAAACACAATTAGTACACTGTTTTCTGAATGTACTCCTTTTATATCTTAATTATATTTTTTTCAGATTTTAGGAAATTCCCTAGGATTAGCTTTATTGAAAATATTCAAAGTACCTATTTAAAGTCTCCTGTTTATTTAGTTGCCAAATCTTAGGCATGGGGACTGCACTTAGATTTTTAATTCAACTCAGATACACAAAGTAAAGCATGGATTGCTTAAGTAACTAAATGCTTTTACAAATATGCACAGTTTCTAGAAATTCAACACTAGAAATCAGCTATGCATCTAGACACAATTCGCTCATATCTGTCATTCTGGCTACTCAGAAAGTTGAGAGCTGAGGATCAAGGTTCAAAGGCAGACCAGGCAGAAAAATCTGAGACTGATATCCACAACTAACCTGCAAAATATTGGATGTGGAGCTGTGGCTTACGTTGGGCCTGAGTTGAAAAGGCTAAGGCCAGATTTCAGATCCCATGTTCAAGCCCCAGTACTGACACAGAAAGAAATAAGCTAAGCTTGTGTGTATTTGCACACATTTTCATGTTCCTGTACTGTGGACAGTTCAACCTTGTCTACCTGGCTCTAATTCCTCACTTGAGAATGAGAAGAATGGTCTGAGATCTTAGTATGGTTATAACCTTACCTTTGATCCATCTACCTCATGATTATATTCCTAATCATATGAACTTTGAGAGATTTTTATCACTACTATTTAATTTTACTTCTTTAAATTTTATTTATTTTGTGTGTGTGCACAGGTGTGTGTGTGCACAGGTGTGTGTGTGTGTGTGTGTGTGTGTGTGTGTGTCAGTCATGGTGCCTAAACGCTGGGCCTGGGCGCTGTCCCTCAGCTCTTCAGCTCAAGTCTAGTGCTCCATTACTTGAACCACAGCGCCACTTCCAGCTTTTTTTGCAAATATGGTACTGGGGAATTGAACCCAAGGCCTCATGTATGCAAGGCAAGCTCTCTACTACCTAGCCACCTTCCCTGTCCATTTTATCTTACTTTTTTTGTGTAGGTCCTGGAGTTTGAACTCAGGGCCAGGGCACTGTCTCTGAACATTTTGTGCCCAAGGCTAGCACTTTAATACATGAGCCACAGTTCCACTTGCTGCTTGTTTTGGGGTAGATGGGTGAGGGGTACTTAATTGAAGGTAAGTCTCATAGATTTTACTACCCCAGCTTTCTTGAAACCACTATCCCCATATCTCCTGCCCCTGAATATCTAGGATTACAAGTGTGAGCCACCAGCAGGTCAGGAGCAAACAACAGCACATGCTCAGGAGAATACAGGGACTACATTTCTTAGAGATGACACCTGTAATCCCAACTAATCAGGAAGCAGGTAAAGTTATGGAGACTGTTTCACAAACAGGCCCAGTATAGTGCTACAAACCTGTGTGCCTAGATTCTCAGGAAGTGAAGTAATAGGATTGTGTTTGAGACCAGCCTAGACAAAAATGAGCTGAAAGCAAAATGTCTGACTTGGTGACTCAAGTGGCAGCATGCACAATGTGCCAGCACAAAAAAGCAAAATAATAATAATAAGATCACTAATTAACATATATAAATGCAACAAGTAAGCATAGAATATATACACTAATGTTAAATGCAAATATTTCCATATTGATTTGAATATTTTAGATATTTATTTCATATACCTTATTAAAATATACTCTTTGGTACCTATAAATGTGCAATGTATTATACTATTCTATAATATTACAAATATTCATAAATGAATAAATAACTATTCATAAATGCATATTACTAATAATGATTCAATATATAACAGTATTTATAGACTATGTGGTATATGACACATTAAATTGTCTGTGCCTAAATTTTCTCACTTATTTGTAGAATGAGTATAGGTTTTCTTTCCATAAAGTCATCACAAGATTTATTAGTTAATGCATACAACATTCTTTTTTAATTATCTCTAAGTAGTTGTACAAATGAGTTTCAGTTCAACATGTCAGTTTGTCAGGACTATGCACATTGATCAACATCACTCTTTTCATCATTCTCTCCTCCCAGTCTATCTCAACCCAACCCATGCCCTTCAAATCTTTAATTCAATTTTTAGAAATATCTATCCATACAACTCTGTCAAAGAGTTATTATTTTTCTAATGCTGTCAAAGAATTATTATTTTTTTCTCTTTTCTTTTCTTTTTTTTTTGTCAGTCGTGGGGCCTGAACTCTGGGACTGAGCGCTGTCCCTCAGCTCTTCAGCTGTAGACTAGCCCTCTACCAATTGAGCCTCAGCCCCACTTCCAGGTTTTTCTGCTTATGTGGTGCTGAGGAATCGAATCAAGGGCCTCATGCATGCAAGGCAAGCACTCTACCACTGAGCCACCTTCCCAGCCCCCAAGAATTTATTATTTTTCTAAGTTCATAGATGAAAGAAACAAGCTGATGAGGGAGAAGAAATTTACCTAAAGAAACACATTTACCCATTGGTAATCTGCACAGAGCTCATTAACTGATCTTGAGCCCATTGATTATCAAATACCAGTTAATGAAGTACTACCATACGTGGGCCTATAACAGCCTAAGAATACAAGGACAATGCAGATTCCTTTATAAAACTAAATATAACCTAAGCAAAGGGTTATCCA